TCAAGGGTTTACCAAGCTATCATGTCTCCCAGCATTTAGTTACAGAAGCCTTAAAACTTCTTTCCGTAAACACACCCTTTCTCTCCCTAAGCTCACGTTTCTTACATTCCCTGCTCAGAGACCCAAGTGGCAAGAATGACACTGACCCGAAATGTCTGGAGACTAAGAGAAGGTCACATACTGCCAGATACAGGGCAACACCAGTCTTGCTTGAGAAACACACCAGATAGTTCTAAGAAAGAACAGAGACCTCTCCACTCCCTCATCTACATGAGCCTGACGAGGAAGCAACAAACCTTAACTGGAGAATCAGAAAGTATCCAAACCAGAAGGAAGAGCAGAGATCTAACCCAATTCCCTCATTTCATCCGCAAAGAAAGTGAGGCCCTCAGGAGAGATGTCACCTGCCTCACCGCATGGAGCGAGTCAATGACAGAGCCAAAACGAAAACCTCAGTCGCCTGGCCGCCACCCCCAGCGCTCCGTCCACTAAGGCCCAACTGCTTCCTTGTTACCAAATGCTGTATAGAATATTCACGGGGCTCAGCTTGACCAATGGGACGAAACCCAGGGCCTAAACCCAGGATGAAAAACAAGGGGCAAAAGCGGACCCAACGGATTCCTTTGAAAAGCAGAGTGGGGCAAACGCGTAGATGGGAACGAGAGGAGAGAGCTGGGCAGACAGACGCTAATGCACAGTCGTGTGCCTTAGCTGCACTGTGTGGGCTTCGTCTTCTTCGGTTTTCCGTATTTTCTCCTTTTGTACGATAAACACATATCGCTCTTCAAATAAATTTGAAAAGTCTGTTCGGTTACTTTATTTGTCATGGGACGGATCTATGACGTGGTAGAAAAAGCAGGCTGGGATTAGAACTCAGACCAATGTGCACTCCAGAAGCAGCTCTGCACCTTCGACTAGTGGGACTGTGGGTGAGTTACTGGACCTGTCAGAGTCTCTGTGTCCTCATATGTGGCACGATGATAACTGGGAACCTTGCAAATGTGTAGCTTTCAGTGCAGGAAGAGAACACCGCACACACAATGCCCGGCACGTAACAGATACAAAGTAAAATTGTCAATAGCATTTGAACCACGTTGCGTCTGTGGTTACACCCTAAATCGTGAAACGGTGCCTCTGCCCCTGAGAAGACCACGCCACTTCATTTCACGCTCGTGTCATTTGTGTGTGTGCCAGTGTAATTTGTAGGGCAAGTGCATGGTAGCTAGCGTTCTGGGTTCTGAGAGAGGGCGGACACAAACACGGAAGAACAGCTTTTCCATCATCCAATGAGTCTCCTGAGCGCTTGGCCTAAGTGAAGCAGCTTGCCGGCTGTGCAGTGCAAGCAACTAGAAGCGCAACAGGGAATCGCACACAAAAAATATTTTTAAGAAACTGCTTTCATCGGTAACAAGATTTTGAGAAGGATATAGGACTCTCGGCTCTGTCATTTCTTTACTCCTCTCCATGAAGAACTTCAAGCACAGGGTAGGGCAGAAACGACTTTGGACCGAGAATGGGAGTATCTGTTTCTTTCCTGGCTCGGTAACTACGTGGTAGTGACCATGAGCAAGTCGTGTCGCCTCTACAGGCCTTGGTTTTCCTTCGGCGAGGTGGAGCGCTTGAGCCAGAAGAATTTCAGCTTAAAACCCCTGCGGCCTTGTTCCCACACGTTTTCGAGGCCTCCTGCAGCCAGAGCCCAAGCTATCGCAGCACACGTCGCCCTCCCCCATCAGGCTCCATCTGCTTGGGCTGAACAAGCTCTAGGCTCACGCGTGACTCCTCCTTTGCTTTGCTCTTCGGCGCATATGGGGTGTTAGGCTCTCCCTCCACTTACCCCTTCTTGCTGTCCTTGCAGACTCAACACAAGTCTCCCCCGCTATGAGTTTTCTATGATCATCTCGGTCTTCCCTAACTGCACTATCCTTTTGGATAGATACTGTTTAATGTGTCTTCATAAAACTTCCTGAACTAGACTGAGAAACACATGGAGGGCAGAGTTCCAAGTCTGATACCATTTCCTTATCACCCAGCACAAGGCTACACATTCGGAACCTTCCTCTGCTCTTCCTCTATCTCTTAGTGTGGCTGGGCGGGATAAATGAGGTATTCATGTGAGAATGTCCAGTACGTTGACTAGACTCGATTAAGAACTCAAATACTAATTTCCTTCCTTTCCTCTCTCTCTGTATATTGGGCGACTGGTCTTCCCATTGGGTGTTCTACTAAAAAAAAAAAAGGTATTCATTTGGAAGCTGAACACCTAGACTGTGCTAGCAGCCTAAGAGGACCTTGGGCAAGTCAAAATTTCTCTACAGCTTAGACCTTTTTTTCAAGTGAAGATAAACAGCACTTGTTCTCATCTCTTATGATAGGAGGATGAAGTGAGATGATCCATGAGAAAGCACTTTCTTTTGAAGAGCTACCGGCATTATTATCTTTCATAAGTCCTAGTTTCAGAAAGAAAAACCTTAAAACAACACAAGAGACAGCGAGATGTCAATGTTAACGGATGATCTGATGATGACTGTGAAAATCCCACTCTTGATATAGACTAGAAATGTCAGAAAGTTGTATTACTGTTCCTCGGGGTAGAAAAGCACAGATACTGAAAAGATTAGGAAGCTTTCTTTTTTGAACTTAATCACCTGGCATCACTCATCTCCCATGCTGACATATTTTCTAAGTCAAACAATATCATAAATATATCTGGGGGGCTTCGTGGGCCTCAGAGTCTGGGCAGATCCATTCGACAGTGTTAAATGCAAAACTAATTTTTAAAAAGTGGTATTAAAATCTCTGTATTTATTGTAAGTAAACTTCATTATTACTCTCTTCTGCACTAAAGTATGCCAAGGTTAGAAGTAGGAAAAGAAAAGAGAAAAAATATAGTCTCCAAAATAAAGTGGGTTTTTTTGTATTAATAAAAGTCATCAACATAAGAAAGAACCATTATACATGGTGAGGAGGGCAAGGGTTAAAATATATTCATAAAGGGATAATTCTGTCCTAAATCATTTTGGAAAAAATATGAGGAACATGATAATGGGAAGGTAATTTGGAGAGAAGCATATCAGAAGAAAATTATTTTTCTAACAACAACAAAAAAGGCATCAGACATTAGTGACGCAAAATATTTTAGGACTATAATTTAAGGGCTCTGCTTTTCTCCCATCTCAGAATGTAATCACCCAGGCAGGCAGGTGGTGTGGTGAGAAAGAGAGATGCGTATGTGTGCGGAAGGGGTGGGGGGTGGGGGGGAATTGTGTGATTTCATCTCATTGTTGATTTCTTCTAATATTAGTGTACAAAGTCAATTAAGGAATGCCTATCCAAAACAGATCACCACTCTAATAAGAAATCACATAAAAATGTATTCTCTTATTTTTCTTTGTGAAACACCTAACCACATTTAAAAAACATTTCAGCTTTATTAATTTGTATAAATATGCCCTTGCCATAATTTGTAATACATTTTATAAGTGACTGGAGGAGATTTCATGCATCGCTAATTCATACATATAAATGTGAAGTTTGCATTAAATGTCTCCAAACAAAACCTTGCTGGCTATGTTTAGAAGGAAGAGGATAAAGAAGAGACAGGAGGGCTCTCATGACAAAGACTGACCTTCTTAAAATTAAGGCTATTCTGTTTTGAGCATCAACCTGCTTCTAACACGGCCCTGGTACCAGGATTTTAAAAGGCCTCAGTCTGGGAACACTACAATGGTTGACTGGCTTAAAAAATAACATGCTGGAACCAGAGGAAACAGCGCTCATCAGTGGTGGGCAACATCCCAGAGCTGCTCCTCAGCGCTCCTTAAAACTCCTTTGGCTACTCGTTCTCATCTCTCACCATTTTCGGGTTTGTGCTCCTACAATGTGCAGAAAAGATCCAAGCTGCATACTCCCCACACGCACTCTAAGCCACCAAGATGGCTCGGACCTGTGTTCTTTGGGTATACTAAAATACCTGATAGATCCTTCTTGAAGATGGGCACATTTTATAACTTTCTTGGAACACATTATGGCACTTATTACTTACAACAATATTTTTTCTAAAACCTCTATATTACTAAAAGTGGAATTTTTAAGACGTAATATTTGTATCGTCTCATAGTTCAATTTTCCATTAAGGGAAAATCAACAAACGGCAATCAAGTGGACAAGTAAACAGTTGTAAAAATAATGCTGAAACTGTAATGAAAAACACAATAGACATTTCTTGGAAATAAGATTAAGGTCATTGCTTTGTCATTTTTATTGATGTTGTTAGTAAATTATAGTTTCGTAAGAAAAAAGTTCTGAAATTGTTTTTAAAATAAGCCATTTAAAAATAAGCCATTAACCAGTAGCTCATTTTTTTAAAAAGATTCTTAAACTATTTTAATTATCTTAGCGTTCTAATATTCATAATTGTCCAAGAAACAGTTTACCATAATGCAAATACTAAGGAAATGTTTAGATGATTTTGTATTTTTTTTTTTAGTCTAGAAATCTACAGGAAATGCTTATTTCCTCAGAGATATCGTTCTTCGTCACCTAAACAAAATACAAGACACTATTTAGCGACGTGCCTTTTAAATTCAAATTTTAAGTTGAAGTTTAGGAAAAACAGTCTATATAATACTCATAAGGTCATGAAGTCACATAACATTACTTGGTAAAGTCAAATGTGTTCGTATTTAAATAAAAATTAAATAGCACTGGATTAAAACCCAACCATTCTTAATCATGGTTTAAGTCTGATAACCAAAACCAAAAAATTGAATGTCGTGCAAAATACAACCCACAAACGAACCAATGCAAAGCTCTAAGCTTTAAACTTTTTGATAGTGTCAATAAAATCCCCAGGAAAGGAGAATACTGCAACTCTCCTTGGAACATAGGTGTTTTAAATCATGGTTAAACAGACAGAATGTTAAGAATGGCATGGTTTTTATTTTCCATAGCAGCTTTATTGACACTTTTTTTTGTAATAAAGTTTGAAAATCTGACACTACCTGTCCACATAGAAGGGGAAACAAAACTTGGTCAAAGTCTGTAGAACTTCCTGTGGAGAGAAAGAGAGATAATTTATACATCTAATGGGACCAATAAATCTAACATTAACCATGGCACACAACCTAGCAACTTTACCCTAAAGAAAGAGGAGACAGATGAAGAAATATGGGCTTTATCAATTATATGGGAGGAGTACCAGGCAGTCAATCATGAGAAATAATAAACATGATCAAACTTCATTAAAAATGAAAAATTAATCAAGAATCACACATGGGCAAGCAGCAGGAGCCACACAGGAAAGCTCTGAAGGGAGGGAGGCGGTTGGGTTGCTGAGTGTTAACACCCCTCCAGGGACCATCTCCAGCCTGACCATATGGATCAGAGTGAATAACACCGAGCCACATGGGTTTGGCCTGGCAGGGCCGCTGTTGCTGGCACTGGTTTTGCCTGTTACCTAGGAACAGAGGGGGCCCGGATTAGACAACGCTTCCCAACATCAATAGGTCAAATCACAAACAGAACGGAAAGCCAACTTGAAGATAATTGTCCCTGAACACTGTCAACCACATTTTTTAGAGTATAAAACTTCATTTACTTACTTTGTAAAGAAGTTGCCATTGCTGGCAGAAATTTATTTTGTAATCAAACTGTAACAATTTTAAGTACATACTATTTTTAGTTAAAAGGCATCATAATTGGACACACTTACCTGCTTGTGGTTTATAAAACTCCAAAAGAAACTACCAGTTTAAATATCTATTTACAAATATGTAGGTATATGAAACCAAGTGTGTTATTCAGGGGAAGTATACAAAAATGGAACAAAAAGCAGAGTGACATCTGAAAGACTTATTCATAAAAGAGAAGCTTCTTACATTAAGAAAAGAACAAACACTACTATATGAAACACAATACATAGTTAGAGGGAGGGTGACTTTTCCCAGGGGACACGTTTCACATATACTGCATATATATACATATCTAAACACATATACAAGTAATTAATTAATTATTACTTCCTTCATGGAACTTTCTCTAGTTTGACTTTAACCGCAGACTCAGCCCACAGTTGGTGCTCAAGTTCACGGACCAAAGTTATAAATTTTAAAAAAAGTACTTCTTTCATGCATTTGATTTGCTTTTTAACTATTTAAAATCTCAACTTCAAGACAAAATGAAGAACACATTTTTCAGTCACTGAGAAGCTGGTTCAAATTAAAACAAACCTGCCCACTGCAAATCTTAATCCGAGTGATAAATTAAAGATCAGTTTACAAACGTAGGACTTTTCTAACCAATAATAATGAATTATCAATGCTACCTGAATTGATGCTTCTCGCTTCATTTATTTTTAAAACCGGTTCTATCATTCAAGAAATAAACCACATCAATCTAATAACCCACTCAATGAAGCAGAAAGCACATTGACTTGCTCTGCCAGAGCATGTTCCGCCTACATAATTCAATTGAGCATGTCCTATTTTTTAATATCATCTTGGACTGGTACAATATACATCACAGCACTATTAAGGCATGTCGTGAAATAGTAAAGGAACAGGAAACAAACAAAAAAGAGTGGATAAGACTACCTCAGCACATTCTAAGAGGCATTATTGGTACATTAGCTCATTTCACAGTGTGACATTCAAAAGTCCTTCTATATTATTTTAAAACCCATTATATTTAAATAAATTGCAATAGCTAACAGAGAAGCAGAAAAACAAGAGCAATTTCTCAGTGCATAATGTTATTATCAGGCAAATATTGGGAAAGAGGTCATATTTAAACATTCATTCTAATATCTGCAGTTTCAATTGTAAAATATAATTTTATAATTTGTATAATCCACATACACAAAATTCTTAAGATTTATATGCAAAAAAAAATTTTCCTTACATATTTCCTTTCACTTCAAGTTTCAAATACCACAAAGCATCTCTTTGACTTCAGAATATGTACCGAGTATCCTTTAAAACTCAGTACCAAGGCTCACTTATTGCCAAGATCAGCTACAAAGACAGTTATCCTTTACCCCTCAAAAGTTACAGGTGCAGAATTGCTTCTCTACTCTATGCTGGAGTCGAGCTGCTAAAAGGCCTCAAGATTTTTGAAAGAAAGGACCCCCATGGCTATAAGAAAGCATTGTGCTCTACAGCAGAGTCAAAGGAATCTAATATGCCCAACTTATTACTCACTGCAATAGAGAAACTACTTACCACTTTCTAATGTCAAGAGTAATAACCAACCGTGAACTTGTCTGTCAGATAATATTAGGACAAATATCAAAATACCCAGTGCAGACTGAGTTTAGCCCACCTCCCAAGAGCTTTCCTTTTTACCCAAGAAAGCAGTGATAAGTCTAATTAAGCAATGGGGCAGGGGGAGAAGAGAAAGGAAGGGAACATAGGCAAATGCAGGCACATGTTTGTACATTACAATATGTTTCTTCATGTTTGTGATATTACAAGAGCTTGATATTCCAATTTAAGTCAAACAAGACGGTGGTGTGCTGTCAGAGGAGAAAACAAAAATGAGCATTCTACTCTGTTAGGCATGTTCACACCTTATCTCAATCAAAACTGAAAAATCTACTTCTTAGTGTAGGAAAGGGAGGACAGGAAGACGGAGGGAAAACAAGCAATGTTTCTTGTAAATAAAAACTGCTGAAATAAATGTTCTTAATACTGTTTTCCCTATATATAAACATCCAAAGGAAAACACAATTACTTGAATATGAAAAGTACCACTCACCAAGAGAAGGGGCATTAAAACCCTGATTTAAACACATTTTAAGCATCAGATTTATAGCAGAGTACCTTTCAGCATTAACTTTATGGGAAAACAAGTCATTCACCAGTTACTAACCGGTCTTTCTCTCTAGAACCTGTGTCTTTGGCTATGGAACTTTCTTTGCAGATGGTAATTTTCCTGTTTTCTCCCCACCCCACCCCCTTCTCTTGCCTACACAAGCTCTTTCAGACGACCAGCCTCAGCACAACCTCAACTACTGCCACATAAATCGGATCTTAGAGATGCAGTACAGCTGATGAAATGTAAATGACCTCATTGCTAAGGCAGGGGGTAGGGAAGACTGTGCCAGCTCTCCAGATCAATTCCCAAGTTTATATTTTCACAAACCTTTTTATGTACAGTTTGATTTTTTAACATTTTAATGAGCAAAAGAGTGAATCTATAGTAGCTAGTCACCACAGTTAAAGTGCAGGGCATGAACTAGGTCCCAGGAGGGAACCAGTCCACCATGTCACCACTGGCTTTAGGACATTCGCCACCTGGTTCCATGTCCCCAGGTTCCAACTCTTTTCATAATCAAAACACTGCTGACATTATAAACCCCAGACGGGTTTTCTAAAATCCCTCCCAATCAATACATCCAACACATAACTTATTGGAGACAACACTGAGCTCATTGATTAAGGTGAGTTCAGTAGCAAAGTTTTCAAAATAAATGAGACAAGAATACAGCATTCAACCCCTTTGTGTCACCAGACAATTTATGAAATAGGCAATTTCCAAAAGGGCTTTCCTCCTAACAAAATATACAATACTTCATGTGGGAAGAAGTAGGAGCAGAGGGGGCAGGGGAGTGTAGATGACAGGCAGTCACACAAACCTTTCGGTTATACATATATTAAACAGCAGATTGCACAGTGCAACATCTACAAAGCTCTGCCCACAAGGAGATACTAAGCCTCAGACCGAACCAAAATATGAAATCAACGCACTTAGCACTGGATTCACTTGCAAATGAAAATCAAAATGAACTCAAGATTCAGCACCATCTTTTTTGGATTCATTTCACCCTATTTGAATTCTCATCCAGTCAAAAGGCCCATCAAGGGAATTTTCTCCAATCTGGAGAAAGTAGATTGTTATGCTGAAACTGAGCCATTCTCTTAAAAACCTGGTAAAGCTTTAAACATTTATAATATTATTCATCACAGAATCCTATCTGGAGGCAAAACTTCGAAGACCAAATTCAAGGTAGTGAACTGGGATTATCAACAATGAGAAGGCCAAACCAATTCACCTGAATTTGGGGTGCAGGGTGGGGAGGGTATAAGAGATCCTCCAACGGCCTGATATCAGTTCGGATGTCAAATACTTTGTTTTCATTGCTTCACTGAAATCCGTGAACAAAAATTAGTTATATCTGGCCGCGGAAAAGAAATGACACAGGCATATACACCCCACAAATGAATGCCATGTGAAAGACAAAAGCGCAGGCTGATTATAATGCCCGCTGGGGTTACAGAATGTTGGGAGATGAGGCACGCTCTCAGCAGTTCAAAAGGAAAAAGAAAATACGTGCAGGAAAACATTTAAATAAAGGAAAGAGATAGCGTGAATAAATAAATATATTTTGAAATATGTAAAGCTACAATCAGCCCCTTTGTAGCTTACTGAAAGCTAGTACAGCAGTCAATAATTTACCTTTGTCCAAAAAGCGAGTGAAGGAGGGAGAGGCGGGCAGACGGGAGGAGAACATTTCCTGAGTTTCCTACACCTAATTTATTTGTTCATTTCAAAATGTAGATGCGTGATGAAAAGATCAGTGGAGCTCAGATTCCTAAAATACTCCGTTTCTGTGCTTAAACATTTTTTTTTAATAGCACGAGGGAAATGCTGACCCTCGAAGTCCTGCAATTGAGATCAGTGCAACTGACTTGAAAGAAAAGCCTTTGATTGATGATCTTAAAACTCAAGTTGAAAGTTAAAAACAGAACACACACAAAATTCAAACATACAAAAAGCTAACAAAATTTCGACTTTAAGCCATTTCCAGTTAAAACCTGGAACTCCAAATGAAAGCTACCAGAGGGTTTTCGTGCTTGTGATTAAGAGAGGGTAAAAGCGAATGCTGAGGTCTTAGATGCTTAATTAGCACCGAGGTTAAGAATGTTGATCAGAAAATTCCTATATGTGAAAACAGGAAATATAATTTTTCTCCTTCCCTGTAAATGTCAAATTAAATCCAAGACCTATAGTAAAGTTATGACCAAACTTTTTTTTTTTTCTCCTAGTGAGAAA